GTTGTTGTCCAGGAAGCAACCAGTCGGTCTGGAAGCAAGGGCATCTGCCAGGTGCCCGATCTTTGTGTCCATATCCTGCAAGAGTGCCTGTTGGTTTCTCTGGCCAGCCTCAATCTCCATGAATTTGCCTGCAGTCACTTCCATGAATTGCTCCAATTTATTGAACTTTTGGGTACTAGTGCTCGCCAAGGTAGTCACTAGATCCCTCAGTTCTGACACGGGATCACCCAGTGCTGGGACTGATGGGGATGTACCATGCTGCTGGTACTGCTGCTGTGGTGGCTGTTGAAAAGCCTGCCCCTGTCTGGGCTGATAAAGTGGCTGCTGTTGCTACATCTGGCCCAGGCAAGGCTGGTATGGCTGCCTCTGGTTTGGAAAACTAGTTGCAGGAGCCTGATAGCCCGGTGGCTTTGGATTGTTGTTGCTAGTCCAGTAGAAATTTGGATGCTAGCGCCATCCCTCGTTGTAGGTATTACTGTAAGGATCGTTGGTCCTGGCATTGTTGACGAAGTTCACATGCTCCTGGGGTGTACTAGACTCACGCATGTCCTGGCAGTCCTCCACAGTATGATGGGTGCTCTCGCACCACTGACAATGCATCGCTTGCTATTGTCCTGCCCCTGGGATCATTCCCGAATGATCGATGGACGAAACAAGTTTAGATACCACCTGCACCAAATCAGACGACTGGGTGGCTACAACATGCACACCCCCGCCCTGGTGCTCGTCTCGATCTCCTCGCAGTTCCCCAATCATAGCCTGGCTCTGCCATCTCTTCAAAATGTTAATTTAGCTGTGGCAGTGTCTTGGTGAGCACATTCTCGCCGCAAACCGAGTCAATCAGCTGCTTGTCTTCCGGGAAAATGGCATGGTAGAAGGTGCCCACCTTGAAGGCGTCGGTAAAACCATGGTTGGGAAATTTGAGGAAAAGACTGGTGTATCTTTCCCAAGCATCCCAGATGGTCTCATCTTCATCCTGAGCAAAGTGGGTAATTTGCTTATGCGGGTCTGTCGTCTTGGATGGAGGATGGTAGCGGGTGAGGAACTTGTCCGCCAGATTAGCAAACGTGGTGATCAAGCCTGGAGTTCGAGTGTCCAGCCACTTCTTGGCTTACCCCTCCAGAGTAAATGGAAAGTACCTCAACTGGATAGCATCGGCTGGAACCCCATTGATCTTGATCCCATCGACGAGCTCGTGGAATCTCCTCAGGTGTGATCGGGGGCACTTCCCCTCCTTGCCACGGAATACCACCGAACCACGCAGCATGGTGATGACAGAGGTGCTCACCTCAAAGTTATTTGCGGAAACTTGAGGGTGCAGGATGGGCGACCTCATGTCTGCGGCTCTAGCGGTCCAGTAATATCCCATGGTTTGTTCCTCGGGAATGACCACATCATTGTTATGTGGGTCACCCATTTCTTCCTCCTCAGCGATTTGCAGCTGTGCTAGAGCCTCCTCCGCAGCCAGCTGCGCCTTTAAAGCCCGCTTGAAGTTCCTACAGGTCCGTTCAAGCACTTGGTCTAACGGTAGTAAATCTCCTGACTGGCTACGGGTCATGCACTACCTACACGCAATCTTCAAAAGCAACCCATGAAGGCACACAGGTGGAAGAGAGAAAATGTAGTAAAGAAAAAGCTAGAGTAACAAACTTTCACGTTTCCACAATAACCTAGAAGTCCCCGACAAGGGAGCCAAAAACTTGACACCCTAAAACACAACACCAAACTGCGACCAAGTGTAATCGCAGTCCGGAAATGCAGTAAAGTGGCAAGCTCTATTTGTCAACCTGGGGTCTAGATCTACTGCCTACTCCGTGATTATCTATTATCTAGCAAACTAAGTTGAGTGATTGTGATTTTAACTAAAAGCAGTAAGAAAGCAGGATATGGTTCAAAGTTCTTTAGCAAGGGGAGAGTCACTTGGGATCGAGTGACCCTAGCTCCTTAGTTAGGTCAAGGTTGTAATTACCCTGGGTTGATTAACTGTTGATTAAACTGCGGAAGATCCGACACTAGCTTGGAATCTCTTAAGCTGACCAAGTCTCTCAGGCAGGCTAACCGGCAGGCGACTAAACTTCACCGGGATAGACTGCTGAGGCAAAAAGTACAGAACTCCACTACTAGAATTTGGTTCCAGCACAAAGCAGTAAATCGATTAACTCTCGTATAACCAATCTACCACTACCGATTGATGAAGCTCTAACAACCTAATCAGATTCTATATATCTCAGGTTGCAGCAGAAATCAAGAAAAGATGATCAGACTTCAATTGACTCAATAAATCATGCATCAATCCATTAAAATCAATCAGTATAACAATCCCAAGTCATTACAATCAAGATCCCTACCACATGGAACTAGGGTTCTTCATACCCAAGTGAGAGAGGGTTATACTCCACAGAGAGAGAGAGAGAGAGAGAGAGAGAGAGAGAGAGAGAGAGGAAAACAGAAATTAGAGTAGTCATACTCATAAAGATGAGGAAAATCTGCTCTGGGATGATGATCTTCACTCCTATGATGATCTCCAAGCTCGATTGATGAAACATAGCTCCAAAATCACCTCTAGGATGTGTTTTTCGCACTTTCTCGCTCTAGGGCTCTGTTTTTTGCTCAAAATATTTGATTCCCTCTCCTTTGGGCGAAATACGGGCTGAATTACGGTCGTAAACATAGTTTGCTCATATTTCACCCAAAACGCGCGTGTCACTTAACTATGATGAGGGGAATTACGGTCGTAATTACCCAATTACTGCCAGTATTTGTTGAATTACGACCGTAGTTAATTTCGCTCTTGCCCTTAATTTGATCTTCTAAGGCATTCTCAGGGATTTGGCTCGGCATTGCATTTACTGTCAGGGCAGAGGCAATTACGCCCGTAATTGGGCAGGGGATGCCTGTATTTATTCCTTCGCACCTGTTTAATGCTTCGTTTCTCCCTCGTCCGAACTTTGAATCAGTCGCCGGTTGATCCCAGACGCTTGTAGTCTCGTCCTCTTTCTTTTCATGACAAACTTCCATGATTATTTTTCCATTATATGAGGTATAAGTCCATTATCACTCAGGTCATGCTCATGTTTCTTCTCCCGAATTGCCAAATGAATTCCGATTGACTTGAAACTTGCACCTTTGCTTCAATTTACATGCTAGGACCTGAAATGTGACAAAGGAACACAACCTAGCGTAAAATAGTCCAAGAAATCAAAAACTCTAGCCAAAATGATCAAGAAACGAGGGTGCAAACATGTGCAAATACGACGTTATCAATAGGTCGATGTATGAGGTCAGCTCAGAAATGGTATGGCTGTAGAGACTGTTTCAGGAGCTTGGAGTGGAGTATGCGCAGCCTATGCACATATATGGTGATAATACGAGTGCTATCCAGATAGAAAATAATCATGTGCTACATGATCGGACAAACGTATAGAGGTACATGTTCATTATATACGACAACTAGTGGCCTAATGTGTGATACAACTCAGTTACTTGAAGACAGAGGAACAAATTGTTGATTTGTTGACGAAGGTTATTTCCTCGAGAAGAGATTGGTATCTATCTTTCAAATAGATGTTGAGATCCCAACATCAATTTGAGGGAGGGTGTTGATTACATTAGTATAGGTACCAATATGTAATTATGTAGTTTGGGTTTGTGCTAGCAAACCTATATATAGCTAGTTGTATGCGACGTTGAAGGTAACGAAATAAGAAAGGCTAAAACCTGAGCGGGAGATCCTCTCAGTGGACTAGTTTTACTCTGACGATACCACGTTAAAAAACTATGTGTGTTCTTTCATATTCAACTTAGTTTTATTGTTTGACATACTTGTCTAGGAAAGTTTCATGAAGTTAATTCCAGGGGTTAGATTTTCGTTATTCAATCCATTGTTTACTCTATGTTTGATGGCTGACTTTACTGATCCGATATTACTTTTGTGCAACCCTGCTAGTGACATGAGAAGCTTTGCATCAGCAAAAGGCAAGGCTTGTTAAACCCGGAGTGACTGTGGTGTCTAAAGTACGTGAAGCCTGATCCTCTTAGCCTTTTGGGTAGAAGAGAAAATTCCAGCTTCTCCTTCACCAGGGGCTTCACATACTGTACAAGTTCGTTGTTTGGAGACTTGTCGTTGTTAAGCTTCTTGGTCACTGCCTAATGACAGCCTTCGGTGTTCCATTGATTCGGATGGGAAGCAAACTGATGCACATTATGTGAAACAACTTCTTGTACATATACTGAACTACTCATAACTGATTTTGTATCTACCCCGCAAATATCTAGTGCCAATGAGTTGTGAGGAAATGGACCCTTTTGTGAAGAGGTATATGGTATGTTGAAGTTTCCATAATCCATTGTTCTATATTATCAATTGAAGCTTTTTGGCCGCATCACATGCTCTGTGGTTCTTTGTATGAATCATCTTTTCATCCTCTCATGGGATCATAATGCGCCCTTTTCACAACCAAGAAAGCAAAACTTACACTGATCTAAAGCTGTACTGCACTCCACTTTGTTTTGATGCATTATTATAGTATCAGAAGTAGTGTCGAACAATGCATGGCATCAAATCTGTTTCCGATCCTAAAACTATCTGACATTGGCGACGAGATGTGCATGGCATTCGTTCATAAGAATACATGCAGCAAATTCTTCAATTCCGTGCAATTGGAATCTCATTCCGTCTTAAAAAGGCCTTTAAACTAAAATCATCCTTATTTCCAATCAACCATGAACTTTCCTCGAATTATGAGAATTCATTAATCAATAACTTTAAGAGCAGGGATCATAGAGTCATAAAATGCTTAGTCTTGCTAGAAGGGATTTTGGCTTTGCCATTCTTCTCAAAGCTTCACCATATTAAAGTAACAGAATAAAGGATTTTATTCCTGATGTATTTATCTATGCATTTATTGTTGTACATCTGTATTCCCTTATGTACTTATCACTTCCTATAACTTCTCGGTATCCCGTATAAATCCCCCAATACACATCAACGGAAATCATGTTTGATTCCTCTTTACATATAAAAATTTAACTTGTACCATATCGATTAATTACCAGAGAGTTAAATAGGCCGCCCCCTTATTCAGACGATGCCTCCACCCCTTTGGTATGAAATTCGGCTCCCAAAAACTAAGTATGGAAACAAGGAGGTGAAATTTGGCTAAGTAAGGAGACCCAACCACAAGGAGGATCATGCATGATATCCAAGGGGGTAAAGCATGATAATGCAAGGAGGGTCAAGCATCAGGTACCATAGCCTCCTACTTACCTTGCACTATGGTGTCAAACATGATGTCGTGCAAGGAGGGCCATCAAGCACACGAATACCCTAGAGCGAGGCGGCAAAGGAGGGAAATTTGGCTAAGTATGAAGACCCAACCACAAGGGGGGTCATGAATGATATCCAAGGGGGGTCAAGCATGATGTCATGCAAGGGGGCTCAAGCACCAGGAACCATGGTCACCTACTTAACTTTCACTATGGTGTCAAACAGATGTCGTGCAAAGAGGGCGATTAAGCATACGAATACCCTAAAGCGAGGCGACCAAGGAGGGGCAATTTGGCTAAGTGTCAAGACTTCGCCACCCAGCCCTCAAGCAGGTTGCATATCCGCCTACCAAGAACTAGTGTGCTAAGCATGATATCATGCCAAGGGGGTGTGACACAGTGCACCCTCTTTCCAAGTAGTCAGGCATGCTAGGCCTCGTGCATGGTAGACCACCTTGTCAAGACCCTGCAAGCATGATGTCCCTCAAAGTGGGTTAGTGTGCATCCATCCTCTCCAAGCACCTTGGTGTAGAGAATGACGTCATGCAAGGGTGGTCAACATGAGGCATCCAACGTCAAGATGAAGCCAAGCGAGATACCTCCACAAGGTAGCTACTTGCCAAGAGTGGCGAGCAGGCAAGCAAGGTAGTTAAGGCATCAAGCAAGCTACATCAAGCACACGCAGTGGAGCAACGGTTACCAAGAGTCATTTACACGACGGTTGCAAGGAATGGCTATAAATGGGAGAAACAAAATAAAGCAAGGGGTTCCACAACCAAACATTTGACTCTACATGTCAAACTTTACCATTTCTCTACAATGTAGCCATAGTTGTAGTCTTTAGTTTCTAGAGCTCTCACTGAACCTCCATAGAAGTAGGTGTAATTAATGTAGCTTGTTCTCAAAACCCATCAAAAACATCAAATACCCTCATTTGAACATTGTTCGGAGAGGATTGAACTGTGTTATTGTCGTTGTTCAAGAAGTCAAAGGTGCATTGATTGAAATCAAACACAAGAGTTTCCTCGCCGAAAAACAATTCCCCAACATATCTCTATTATGGTATCAGAGCATAGCAAAGTTCAGCTAGGTTTTTTTTTATCCAATCACGCATCTCTCAACTACACTATCTAGAGATCCCAAGTCGAGACAATGCTCATGGGCCTTGATCTCCTTGGCTTTGTCGACGACATCTCTGTTGCGGCGGAGAAGACAATAACCGCCAACAATGCTATGACACCCAATCCTGCCTATCGCTTGTGGTTTCGTCAAGATAAGCTTATTCTCCATGCTCTTTGTTGCTCTTTATCCGAATCGAATTGTCCATATTTATCTGCTGCTACAACTTCTCGTGATGCTTGGACTATTATAAAGAAGCTCTATGTTAGTCATGCTCAATCCAGGATTATTGCTCTCAAAACCAGCATGCACAAGACTCAGAAGGGCGACCATGATGTTGTTCCTTACGTTCATGACATGAAACTGAGATCGGCCGAACTCGCACGTATTGGTCAACCCATTTCTGATATTGATCTTGTTGTTCATACCTTGCGTGGCTTAGGTCTTGATTTCAATCAATTCTATGTTGTTGTTCGTGCCCGATGCACCATTGGCACGATTGATGATCTTCTCGACTCTCTTATTGAGTACAAGGCTGACTTGAAAGAGCAGGCTCGGGATGCTCACACTGTGCCGACTGCGTATTACTCTCGGGACCCCAACGTCGTGGCGGATCCGACTCCTCTGCTCGTCTTTAGAGACATCACAGCCAGCCTCGTGACTAGGCTCTGCCTCCTTTCCCCATCCGAGACCGTGAATGGGCTCCCTCGTCTCAACCTAACTCTTGCAAAATGGAACTCACAACTGGGCTTGGAGCGATGTCGCCCTCTCCACCTGATGAAGCCTGCCAGCGCCGCCTATCTGTCATTTGCTAGTACTGCGAGCATCCTGGTTACTCAGCCCATACTGCTTCAAGTTGTTTCCCCGGACTCGGCGGGCCCAACCTCAAGCCCATGCTACCACCACACCCATAGGTTCCTCTAATTCATGCCATGGCTAATGGAATCGGTTGCATCACATCATGTTACCACATATTTAGGAAATTTATCACTTTATTCTGACTACACTGGCCCCTATGAGAGATCCTTGTTGGTGATGGCTCAGGTTTGCAGATCACTCACATTGACTCTTCTACTCTATCTACCGGTTTTCAAAACTTCCAACTTAATATGTGTTCCTGCCATCAAAAAGCGGTTAATTTCTGTAGCCAAGCTATGTCGCACTAAACCTGTTTCGGTGGAACTTTATGCTGACTATTTTGTTGTCAAGGATCTTCGCACGGGGGCGCCGCTGCTGAAAGGGAAAAACAACAATGATGTGTATGAGTTGCCTCGGGAGGCCGAACCTGCCCGTCTTGACCTTGTTACCACCCGCACCTTGGCCGCTTCCTGGCATTCTCGTCTCGGTCATCCATCCCATCAATCTTTTTCCAGTCGTCTTCGCTCGCAATCCCTCCTAATCTCATCCTTTATCACTAGCAACTCATGTGATTCATGTCTTTCCAATAAAAGTCACAAACTCCCTTTTGTTGATTCTTCTTTGACTAGTGATAGACTGTTTGATTTTTTATACACAGACGTTTGGGGTCCTGCATCGGTTTATTCCATTGATGGTTATCATTATTATCTCATTATTGTTGACAATTTCTCTCGTTATACGTGGTATTATCCCTTGAAAAATAAATCTGATGTTCTTCAGGTTTTCTTGAATTTTCGCAAACTAGTTGAGAATTACTTCTCCACCACTATCCGTCATCTTTATACAGATGATGGTGGTGGTGAATTTCAAAAACTACGTTCTAGTCTTGCAGATCATGGGATTACTCACCTCATTACACCGCTACATACACCTGAATGCAACGATCTTGCTGAGCGCAAACATCGCCTCATTGCCAAGACTGGTATCACCCTTCTCCATCATGCTCATCTTCCCACTACATTTTGGTCCTTTTCCTTTTCCATTGTCGTGTACCTTATTAATCGCCTTCCCTCCTCTACACTTCGTGGTGAAATTCCATTCACCGTTCTCTTCAATCTCTCTCCTAATTATTATAAACTTCGTATTTTTGATTGTCATTGCTATCGCTGGCTTCGTTCGTATTCTGCCAATAAACTTGAATCCCGTTCCCGCTCTTGCCTATTTCTTGGTTACTCACCCCAACAAAGTGCTTATAAAATTTTTAACCCCATCACTCGTCACATTTTTATCTCTCAACATGTTATTTTTGTGGAGGATTCGTTTCCAGGTGATTCTTCCCCTCCAAGTGCCAAACCCACAGTTGCTTCGTGGTTATTGGACACCCAACCTCCCATCACAAGTATTCCTCTTCCTCGGCCCCAACCACTGCCATCCTCATTTGCAATTCCACTAGGCATATTCCCCCGCAATAGGTAAGACCTTTTAGATTCCTTACTACTTGGCTTGCTCCTGAAGACTTTACCCGTATGCTTGATGCCTCTTGGAACCAAGGAAGGGAATGTTTACTGTCTTTGCAGGAACTCCAGGATAAGTTACGAGTTTGGAAAAAAGAGGTCTTCAGGAATGTCTTTAAATGAAAGGTGCTCCTCACCAAACAACTGCACAACTTAGAAATGAGGAACGACCGATCGCCTTGCTCTATTATGCTACAAGAGGAGGCACGCGTGCGTGAGTTCCTAGAGCAAACATTATGGCAAGAAGAGTTGTTGTGGATACAAAAATCACACAACAACTGCATTGTCAATGGAGACCATAATACCAGCTTCTTCCACAACTCAACTTTGACTCACAGGAAGAAGAACATAATCACTAAAATTCAAGTGGAGGAAGGTACATGGATTGAGGATCCGGTACTGCTCAGTTCGATGGCAATGAACTTTTACATCAAGTTATACATTGAGGAGGCTACGGATCAGACCAGCATCCCGCCCATTTCAGGGAGTTAGATGACAGCAGAACAAACAAGCTTACCTCATTACCTTCTATGGAAGAAACTTGGGTTGTTATCAAATAGAGGGGTGGCCTAAAGACCCCAGGAAAATATGGCTTCCAAGCTGTCTTTTACCAAAAATGCTAGAACAAAGTGGGGGGTGACTTACACAACCATATCATCGACTGCTTCAGAGACCCACAACCCATCAAACTCTGCAATGAGACTCTCCTAGTGCTGCTGCCCAAGATTGAAATCCCTAAGACGATCTCACAGTTCCACCTGATTGGCCTATGCAATGTGAGCTATAAAGCCATAGCGAAATGCCTGGCCAACCGACTCAAAGACCTTATGCTGGAGCTGATAGACCCCAACTAGTCGAGCTTGGTTCCCTATCGTCACATAACAGACAATATAATCATCTTACAGGAAGTGATTCATTCCATGTCACTCAAAGCGGGGATGAAGGGGATAAAGGTCTTGAAGATTGACTTGGAGAAAGCGTATGATTGGATAAATTGGCGTTTCCTGGAATCCAGCCTGATAGCAGCTGTCCTTCCTTCAGATTTCATCGCTATGATTATGGCTTGTGTCACCACTGCGAGCTTCCAAGTCTTGTGGAACGGAGGTGGTACAGAACTTCCAACCATCAAGAGGACTTCGTCAGGGATGTCCCTTATCACCCTACTTATTTACTTTATGTGTGGAAAGACTGAATCATTGCATTAAGGACTCTATTTCTAATGCCTCGTGGAAATCGATTTTTCTCTCAAAGAACGGCCTGCCTCTAGCTCACCTATTCTTTGGAGATGATCTTGTGTTGTTTGAAGAGGCCTCGCCGAGTTAAGGTAAAGCCATTCTAGAGTGTTTGGACCGATTCTGTAAGGCATCTGGAGAGGAAGTCAACAAAGAAAAATCTCTTGTCTTCTTCTCCAAGAACACTAAGGAGAGGACCAAGAGACACATAATCAACCAATTGGGGATCAGATCAAAGACAGACCTTGGGAAATACCTTGGAGTGACGGTAAATCACAGGCGTGTGACGAAAGATACCTACAGATTTGTTATCGAGAAGATCGAAAAGAGGTTATCCAGGTGGAAAGCTAGAAGCCTCTCGCTTGCAGAACGTGTGACGTTGGCCACTTCACTTCTTAATGCGCCACCAAATTACGTCATGCAGACTGTTGTTCTCCCGGTTTCGATATGCGAAATCATAGACAAAAATAAGAGCTTTTTCTGGGGAGCTGAGGAAGGAAAGCAGAAGAGTCTAGTGTCTTGGGAAAAAATATGCAAGCCTAAAGAGGAAGGGGGCCTGGGTCTGCAATCCGCACGTGCTTTAAACCTAGCCTACTTAATGAAGCTTGGATGGGCGTTTCTCAATAAGAGTGATGAGCTATGGATTAAAGTACTCCAGGGAAAGTATTTTAAATCCACTAGTGGAGGCGGCATGGTGAGGAAGCAGAGTCGAGAATCCCGATTGTGGAAGGGTATCATGTCCGTTTGGCCAGCCTTGATGAAGGGTGTAGTCTGAGATCTGAGATTCGGCCGCAAGACGAGCTTCTGGAACAGCTCGTGGGTATCCCATGACATCATTCTCAGTGAGAACATCATCAGAGATGGGACATATATCACTTGGCAAGAATCAGTTGCTTACTTCACAACAAACACAGGTGAGTGGAATTTCAGTAAGATGACACCGCACATCCCTCACGCCGTGGTTTGTTTGATTGCACGCATTGACCCACCACAAGAAGGACTAGGCGAGGACTAGGGATGGCAATGGGGCGGGTTTGGGGCGGGTTTGGGGCGGGTTTGCTTAAACCATCCCCATACCCATCCTCAAATACCCAAACCCATACCCGCCCCATACCCATGCAGGGGAATGTTTTGCAAACCCATCCCCATACCCGTGGGTTTCGGGTACCCATGGGTAATACCCATACCCGTACATCCGACATTATTATTCCTAAAACTTACAAGAAAATTTCTAATTATAACTCTAAACGAACATATTATATCACGAAGTCAACAAAACACAGTCATTTTTTTAATATGGTTCAAAGATTATGATCCTAAAATATCCATTAATACATAATATAGAGTATAATATTTTTCAAATTATTATGTTCTAACTCGGATACATCTACTAAATAATAATTAACTAACATAATCTTGTTGACAAGGGGGAAAGTGAAAGAGTGAAATGAGAATTGAGAGAAATGAATTAGATTTTGATTAAGGTGGTCACTCAATTGCATTTCTACTATTTATTTTCTCAAGTTATCCTCATCATCATTGATAGGTTATAATTTGATGCACATATTTTTTTATATATGAAGAAATTATCTTGGTGGGGCGGGTATGGGGATGGGTATGGGCGGGGAAGGCTAAAACCATACCCGCCCCATACCCATCAAATTTTTTGCGGGTTTTACCCATCCCCGCCCCATACCCGGTCAAAGCGGGGATTCCCCACGTTGACTGGGTCGGGGGCAGTCGGATACCCGCTGCCATGGGTTTGATTGCCATCCCTAGCGAGGACATGAAGATGTGGGGACTAGAAGCCGACAGAAATTTTCGACTCCGGACAACATACTAGGCGACATGTGATTGGCTGCGCGATGAGGAAGACGACGGAGAATCATGAGAAACAACCAGAATGGAAAGGAATTTGGAAGTGGAACGGACCTAGTCGTATAAAACATTCCCTATGGCTTGCATCTCATGAAAGAATCATGATGAATTATGAGAGGAAGCGCAGGAAACAGACGGAAGTGGACACGTGCGAATTGTGCAAGCTCACATTGGAATCAATGGAACATGTGTTGCAACAATGCCATCACTCACAACAGGTACGGTGACTTCTGAACCTCAGAGACACTGCCCTGAATGTTGGTATGTGTTTTGCAGATTGGATAGCGTCGAGGCTGAAGGACGCCAAAACCAGACTATTATTTGGAGTAGCGGCATGGTATTGTTGGAACAGGAGGAACGAAACAATTTTCCGGAAAAAGCATACTGACGAACAGACATTGGTACCAAGGATTCGGAGTTGAGCGGAGACAACTATGAAAGCACAAGAAAGTGACAAACGAGCGCATCTAGTTGCTACCAACAAAACCTTGAGTCATATATAATGGACTCCACCTCTGATTGGCTGGGTGCGCGTCAATACTGATGGCTCTATCCGACAACCGGGATCGAAGGCTACGGCCAGGGGACTCATCCACGACTAGCTAGGAAGATGCAGGGGGCTTTCACGACCAACTTGGGATACTGCATGATCGCCAGAGCTGGACTCATCGGACATATAGAAGATGGCGTGGGAACAGGGGCACAAGAAGGTCCAACTTCATCTCGACTCGGAGATATCTATCAGAATCCTAACCACTAGATAGAAGCAAAACCAAAGATATTACAACATCACTCGGCAGTTTCAGGATCTCATTAACAGAAATTGGGATGTTCAAATCTCTCATATTTTCAGGGAGTGCAACAAAGTGGCAAACTTCCTTGCCAATAAGGAACATTTTGTTAGCATATGGAACCACCTGTTTAGTATTATAGATCCATGACTTAACTTCTGGATTTTGTATCGGCCAAGATTATTTAATTTAAGTGCCAGGCAGGGGTGCCCTTTTAGCACCACATTTTTCTAAAAAAAACAACTCAACGTTAATATGATCTTTTTTTTATTACATGTTAATATGATCTTACTCAAAAGTCTGTTAATTTTTTTTACCACCATATTATAATTAAAAATTATATAATGCTATTATGAGATGGCGTTATTTTATATATTATTTTTAAATCTATAATTTATTCATGCCCAAATGGCATGGCCGAACTTTTCAAAAACAAAATCAACAATAACCACACCCAGTAGATTGAATGCAAACAGACTATCAATAAAAAAGAACATATTTTGATACTAGAAAATCCAATATTTCAAACTCCTTCGTCAAACGTTTAGGAAAAAAAGTTGTCACACAAAATAATATTAAAACGGAACTAGCAAAATTCCAACTTGGCCACGACGCAATTCCTCGTCGGCGGCCTCCCAACCACTACTTTCACTCCATCTCTCCAGCCCCCCGAGTCTAGAACTCGGTTAACACACTCCTCCTCCTCATCGCGTCGCTCAACTCAGTGAGTTAGTTGTCCGTTTTCTTTTTCTAAATCTCCCAAAACACGTTCCTTCATACCTACTGGCTACTTCCCCCTGTCTTATTCTTCTCTGTCTCCAACCGAGTCCCCAGCCTGGAAATTTATACCTACAGCGGAAAATAACTATTAAAAAGAAGATGCATTTTCCACACTTTTATAAATACATCCCCTAATTTTCTCCACCCATCTCATCGTTCCTTCTTCCTATGTCTCTGTTTTTGTTCCCTTTTACCTACCTCATTCATTGATTCATTCTTTCTTTCTTCTACCATTATTGTGACTATCGAGCTGATTGAAGAGAGAGCTAGAGAGATGATTGTATTCATAGTTCTAGGCGGAAAAAAGAGGAAAATTTGAAATTCTTTTTTGGTCTCTTGCGATTGATTGGATATAGTAGCCTAGTTTTTCTTTGTTCTTGGGTTGTTAGTATTGAGAGGATTCATTGCCATGTATATGGAAAGGGGAATAACGAAGTATAATTTCTCCATGAGAGGAAATATTTGGCAGTTCAATTTCCGATTCTTTTTCTTCCTTCCGTTGAAGTCTCAATAGCTGGCCAATAGGGAAGAAGAGACACCAGTCACCAAACACCAACTTAGCTGGCCAGAGCAAAGCGGTAGTTGCTTGGGTTGGCTGGTGTAATGTAGCATAGTGGGTCAAAACCTGACAGACAGGCCGAATCTTAGGCTTAGACTGGGCCCATATTTCAAGTTACAGAGTTAGGTCCAAAGGTGGATGATAAAGGCCCGGTTCATATCATCTACAAGGACAAAATAAAGTGATTTTATGTCATGATGGGATGATAAAAGTTTCAAAGAACCATCAGTCCATCACTTTGTGATTGTCAATGATCATTGTAAAATCACTTGCGCTTGTAGTAGATCCATACAATTACACGAAATGAACCTATTTACAATGTGAAATTTTAATTGAATGTTGATGGACTCATGTCAATGTAAAAAATGAGCACGTTTAATAAAATTAAGATAATAATTCTTTAGAACCAACCTGTATAAATATATCTACACATCACACAAGAGAATTAAATTGAAGATACTCTTCTGATAATCTTGTGAATTGCACATTATATCGAGTAAAAGTTGATTACGCTGTTTAAACTATTAACTCCATCGTGTAAATTGGCTTGCCTCAAGGCATTACACCTTCCAAATGGTCTCTCAAGTTCATCCCAAATATTTTAGTAATCTCATGTTGCAAAACAATTCTATGAATTTCCATTCACGCGGAATTCAAAATCCAACAAAGACCGTAGTATTAGATGCATCCTACATAAGAAAATCTCGATATGCAAGATCTGGAACAGGTAGAGTACCATCTATAAACCCAATTTTGTGTAATTTTGAGAACCATTTGAACTGCACTTTGCCACAGCTGGTAATTTTTTTCGCCCCAAAACTTTACTAGCAATGGACTAAACCAAAAATTCACTAAGAATATAGATGTTGATTCTCACTACCCATCTTTGTAGCAACCCATGATTTGCCTTCCAGGACCCATTAAACCTCATTGTTGTGGTCTAGGTATCCCGACCTTGATTATGCTCCCAATTCGCATTCCTTCATTTATGCTGGTAGGGTTTGCCTAGGAAGATGGGCACGTTGAAGGTTTTGAGCGGCCGAAGAGGTGTGATAATACGAATGCGGTGGATGAGGAAGAGGAATATAAGACGAGTCATGAGCGGGAGGGTCGTGATATGACGAAAACATATAATGTGAGGGATTTAGGTATGAACAGTGGTGGAGGGAGCCCTTGAGGAAAGGGGTCCTAGGTAGAGCTGGCAAATTACAACCCGACCAGTTGATCCGACCCAAAACCGCCCGAAAACTTGAAATTTTTGTAACCCAAAATCCGAATTACCCAAACTCGATAACCCGTAATTTTTTGGGTCGGGTTGGGTGGGTTAGGGGGTCGACCCGTTAGACCCATTCCATTTTATATATCACTCCCAAAATGATAAAATCACTCATAAATTGGTGAGATTTAAAAAAAAAATCAGAAGGATTTAGATGACATGTTTGGAGTTTAAGGATAATCAAATATCATGTGTTTCTTGTAGTAGTATTACTCTTCTAATTGTTTTTTGACGATTTGCGCAATTTGTATTTCATTTCATTAGCATAGGAGGATTTGAGAATATGTTAATTGACATGTGTTAGGTAAACTATTATCATGCATATGTGAAAATTTGTGTTCTTTAAGAAAATATGAAACATGTTTGATATTGTTTATGAGAACGCTCATAACCCGAAATGACCTGTAACCCGACCCGAAACCAAATGGATAGGGTCAATATTTGACCCGAAATCAGTCAACCAAACATGACCCGACCCGTAACCAAAGTTCTCAACCCGAAATTATCCAACCCGATCTGATTGCCAGGTCTAGTCCTAGGACCCCACTTAGCAAAAAATTGGGTATCAAAACCCTTTAAATATATGTGTTGTAGCATGATACTTGAAATGTACGACCCCATACTTTCGCCAATACTACATTGCGTAAGGACTCCAATCAACTCGAAGTTGTTAAGAACCCCAATTCATTCAAAGTCTGACTACGCCACTGGGTATGACAATAAGGATACATGGAATTGAGGCATATGGTTGGAGTAATAAAGAGGTTGATGATGATGTATCTAATCATATTGTCATTTCCATTGAGAGTAAGGCTTTTCCATGAAGGTCTGTAAATTAGTATGGCAAGATGCCGAAACAACGAGCTTTGATACCGCTAATGGATACGGAGACCTCAACCTTCGGACTTTGAGATATCTCGCTCGAAAATCTCGAGTTAAGGGATCTCTTCAATGTCGAGAAGGGGTTGTAGTTACGTTACAACTAATCTTAGGGTTACTAAATATAGATGAAATTCTACTAGGTTTATTCATTTACCACAAACTAATGACTCTATACATATAGGAAACTCTTACTTTCCCTACAGGTTATAAACAAATGACTCTAACACTATTGATTATGAAACTCGACAACAAATATAGTAAGGAAATCCTATATACTATTGACGTATGATGACTTGATATATACACATGTTTTTGTCCACCATTCTTACACCGTTTGAGTCTTATTTCTCGCGTTTTAGGCCGATTTCCCGCTAGGTTGTTCTTGTTTGTGATATTTCAGGTCTTAGTACGTGAATGAAGGTTTGGGAACGAGTTCCCGGTCTATTGGACGAAGATTGGACGTTTGGCGAGAAGCTAAGGAAGCCACACTGGCACGCCTAAAATCCCAAACGGCCGTGTGACTTGGCCGTGCGGCACCATTTTGCACGGGAAAGCCACACTGGCCGTGTAGGGGACCCCTTGTGGCCGTGTGGAAAGTCCAAGGAGCTCACACAGGCAGCCTGGAAATCCACACGGCCGTGTGGTTTTGGCCGTGTAGCGTACCTAAAGCCACTTAAGTGAAACGCGACATTTTGCACACTCACACTGGCAGCTGGGAAAGCCACACGGCCGTGTGACCTGGCCGTGTGGTCGGGAATTTCTAGGTTTTAACCCAATTTTGAGCCAAAGGAGAGGGAATCGACTTTTTGGAGCAAAAATAGAGTTTTAGAGAGAGAAAGTGCGAAGAACAAACCCTAGGAGCTATTTGGAGTGGATTTCTCACCATTGAAGCCCAGATTGCATCCCCGGGAGTGAAGATTGACATCCCAGAGCAGATTCTTCCCATTGTTATGAGTATGACTGCTTTGTATTCTGTTTCCCTCTCTCTCTCTCTCTCTCTATGGAGTAGAACTTTCTCTCACTTGGGTATGAAGAACCCTAGTTCCATGTGTTAGTGATCTTGATTGTAATGACTTGGGATTGTTATACTGTTTGATTTTAATCGATTGATGCATGATTTATTGAGTCAATTGAAGTCTGATCATCTTTTCTTGATTTCTGCTGCAACCTGAGATAGATAGAATCTGATTAGGTTGTTAGAGCTTCATCAATCGGTAGTGGAAGATTGGTTATACGAGAGTCAATCAATCTACTGCTTTGTACTAGAACCCAATTCCAGTAGTGGAGTTCTGTGCCTATTGCCTCAGCAGTCTATCCCGGTGAAGGTTAGTCGCTTGTCGGTTAGCCTGCCTGAGAGGGCTTGGTCAGCTTAAGAGATTCCAAGCTACTGTCGGATCTTTTGCAGTTTCATCAATAGTTAATCAACCCAGGGAAATTACAACTGAGACCTAACTAAGGAGCTAGGGGGACTCATTCCCGAGTGACTCTTCCTTTGATTTAGAAAACCGAACCATTTCCTGATTTCTTACTGCTTTTAGTTAAAATCACAATCACTCAACTTAGTTTGCTAGATAACAGATATACACGGAGTAGGGAGTAGATCTAGACCCCGGGTTGACAATTAGAGCTTGCCTGTTACCGCATTTCCGGACTGCTATTACACTTGGTCGCAGTTTGGTGTTGTGTTTTAGCGTGTCAAGTTTTTGACGCCGTTGCCGGGGACCCTCTAGGTTATTGGGGAAACGTGAAAGTTTGTTACTCTAGGTTTTTCTTTACTGCATTTTCTCTCTTCCACCTGTGTGCCTTCACAGGTTGCTTTTGCTGATTGTGTGCAGGTAGTGCATGACCCACAACCAGTCGGGAGATTTACTACCATTAGATCAAGAGTTTGAACGAAACTGTAGTAACTTCAAGCGGGCTCTAAAGGCGCGAGTGGCTGCGGAGGAGGCCTTAGCACAACTGCAAATCACCGAGGAGGAAGAGATGGGTGACCCACAGGACCATGATGTGGTCCTTCTTGAGGAGAAAACGATGGGGTACTACTGGACCGCCAGAGCCGCAGACATGAGGTCGCCCAGAGCCAACAACTTTGAGGTGAGCACCTCGGTCATCACTATGTTGCGCGGCTTGGTAGTATTCCGTGGCAAAGAGGGGGAGTGCCCCCGATCACATCTGAGGCGATTCCACGAGCTCATTGATGGAATCAAGATAAATGAGGTCCCAGCCGATGCCATCCAGCTGAGGTACTTCCCATTCACTTTGGAGGGGCAAGCCAAGGAGTGGCTGGAAACCAGCCCCCCTGGATCGATCACCACGTAAACCAACCTGGCGGACAAGTTCCTCACCCGCTATCATCCTCCGTAAAAAATGGCGGACTTGCAGAAGCAGATCTCCCACTTTGCCCAGGATGAAGATGAGACCATCCGGGACGCGTGGGAGAGATACACCAGTCTCTTCCTGAGGTGTTGATGCTCCAAAAACACAACACCTAACAAAGGCCAAGTGTAACCAATGAAAGGGACTGCAGTATAGTGGCTCAAGTGATAAATATCGAATCCACGGTAACTCCAGCTCCAATGGCTCTTCTGGTTGTGGGAGAAATTCTTCTTGGTAATGAGGTTGTTCTTGATATGCCCAGGGGTCCGGTTGTTCTCCGTAGTAAGGGGGTTGGTACTGGAACCCGAATCCATAGTCTTCTCCGCCTTGATTGCTCCACGGAGTCTCGGGGTAATACCACCCAGATGGTGGTGGATACCCCCAATGATTGGAGAAGCCATTAGGATCCATGATTCAGATCTGCACCAACAAAAACAAAAACACCCAAGTGAAAAGCAAGGGTGGAAAAGAAAAGAAACGAAAAACGCTAAAGTAACAAACTTCTGCCTTTCCTAATACTCTAGAAAGTCCCCGGCAACGGCGCCAAAAACTTGATGCTCCAAAAACACAACACCTAACAAAGGCCAAGTGTAACCAATGAAAGGGACTGCAGTATAGTGGCTCAAGTGATAAATATCGAATCCACGGGTCTCTAGAGTTACTATTACTCAGCTTCAGTTTATTATTTAGCAAATCAGATTAAGATGAAAGAACTAAAACTACTCTAGCAAACTACAGTTAAAGTTAATCTAATTACAGGTTGGGAACTCACTTAGGTATGATTCCCCCTAGCCACTAGCCAGATTAATGATTGATGATCTCTAACCTGTTTCACTTTCATTCACAATGCGGAGAATCCTTGACTAGACCTTGAGTCTCGACTAAAGGAACAAGGCCCTCTTGAGTCAATTGCCTAGAGGGACGTATCCTTCTCTAGAACAACTGATCAAGGCGTTCTGAACTAGACTCCCTCTATCGAAAGGGGTTCTCAATCGATACAAAGCAGTGAATCAACCCTCGACTAAAGCAATCGATCCACTACTATCAATCTATGGTGCTCTATTGACCTAATCAGGTATTCCCTCTCATAGGATCAAAGCAGAATCAATAATCTCGACTAAAGCAGAATTGAATCATGAAAACATGCATAGATTGAATATGAACTCAAGATTATCAAGTCAGAGTACTCATACAATCATCCAATCAAACAAACATAGCTAGGGTTCCTCAAAACCTAAGTGAAGGGAAGTTACTCCATAGAGAAGAGAGAGACTGCAGTAAGAATCTTCAGATGATCAGTCTTCAAGTCCGGGCTTGTTCCTCGAGCTTCCAAGGCGAAGAAATCCTCCTTCTCTACTCCAAGAATGCCCTCAAATCGCCCTCTCTCTCTAAGGTTCGTCCCTTGGGTGTTTGGGATCCAAAAACCCAGCTCTTCCTCTCCTTTGGTTCGGAATTTGGCTTAAAACCAGGAAATCCCGACTCGCACGGCCAGGGTGCACGGCCGTGCATATCACCATTCTGGCCGTGCAACTCAAAACGCAGCGTGTCATTTAGTCGAACTTCAGCCCTCTCGCACGGCCAGGGTGCACGGCCGTGCGAGCTTCAGGGGTTGCCCGTGCGTGTCCTCGTCATAAGGCGCACGGCCATATTGCTCACGTGCACGGCCGTGCAGCCTCCCTGGTCTGCCCGTGCAGCTTGCTCAGCCTCTGTTTAATGCTTCGTTTCTCCCTCGTCCGGACTCCGAATCAGTCGCCGTTTGATCCCAGACGCTCGTAGTCTCGTCCTCTTTCGTTTCATAACAAGCTTGCACGCTTCTTTGTCCATAAAGTGAGATAGAAATCCATTCTTCTTCAGGTCATGCCCGAGTTTCCTCTCTCGAATCGTCAATTGATCTCTGATTGACTTGAAACTTGCGCCTATGCTTCACTTTATGTGCTAGGACCTGAAATGGGACAAAGGAACACAACCTAGCATAAAATAGGCCACAACACACGAATATGCCCCTCAAACGGATAAGAACTAGGGGCGCAAACATGTGCAATTACATCGTTATCAGGTGTCCCAATCATGGTTTCAATGATGCTTTCAAGGTGGGCACCTTCTACCACGCCCTCTTCCCAGAGGACAAGTAGCTGATTGATTCGGTTTGTGGCGGGAACATGCTGACCAAGACGCCGCCGCAGTTGAATCAGCTCTTTGAGGAGATGGCAGAGAAAGGGTATGATTGGGGCACTGCTAGGAGGTCGAGGCGAGCACCAAGCCGAGGTGTACATGCTGTGGGCACCCACTCTTCTGATTTGGTGCAGGTTGTGTCTAAACTGGTCTCAGCCATCGATCGGAACGGGATGGTTCCGGGGACAGGGCAGTAGCCGACAATACGTTGCCAGTAGTGCGAGAGCGCCCATCATACCGTAGAGGAGTGTCAGGCCATGCGTGAGTCCAGTACACCCCAGGAGCAGGTGAACTTCATCAACAATGTCCGGCGCAACGACCCATACAGTAACACCTACAATGAGGGATGGCGCCAGCATCCAAATTTCTCATGGAGTGGCAACAGCAATCCGAAGTCACCTGGCTTCCAAGCTCCTGCATCTAGTTTTCCAAACCAGAGGCAGTCATACCAGCCTCGCCCAGGCCAAATGCAGAAACAGCAACCACTTTATCAGCCCAGACAGGGGCAGGCTTTTCAACAGTCCCCACAACAGCAATACCCGCAGCCTGGTGCATCTCCATCAGTCCCAGCACTGGGGCGATCCCGTGTTAGAACTGAGGGATCTAGTGACTACCTTGGCCAGCACTAGTACCCAAAAGTTCAACAAATTGGAGCAATTCATGGAAGTGGCTGCAGGCAAATTCATGGAGATTGAAGCTCGCCATAGAAACCAGCAGACACTCCTGCAGGATATGGACATCAAGATCGGGCACCTGGCAGATGCCCTTGCTTCCAGACCGGTTGGCACACTTCCTGGCCAACCCCTACCGAATCCCAGAAATCATAAGGAGGGGTTGCACGCCATTATGCTGAGAAGTGGGATTGTGACTGCGGATGCACCGCAGATCACCCCAAAGCCGGAAGAAGACCTGGTGATGGAAAAGGAGCCAGAGGATCAAGCTCCAAAACCACAACCAGTAGTGGCTGAATATAAGCCTAAGCTCCCTTTTCCCACCAAGATTTACAAAGACGGGCTAGAGGCAGAGTTCGGCAACTTCTCGTCCATGCCTAGGAAGCTGCATGTTCAAGTGCCCTTCATGGAGGCACTATCTCTAATGCCTAAGTACGCGAAGTTCCTGAAGGAGCTTCTCTCGAAGCAGCGGAGGCTGAGCGAACTGGCCACTGTGGAGCTCAGCGAGGACTGCTCGGCCATTCTGCAGAACAAGCTTCCGCAGAAGCAGAAGGACTCAGGTAGTTTTACTATCTGTGCTCTATAGGTAAATTGCATGTAGTGTGGTCCTTGGCGGATCTAGGTGCTAGTATTAATGTGATACCATATCAATTATTCAAGAAACTAGGCCTAGGTGAACCCAGTGCAACAAGGATGAGTGTTCAATTAGCTGACCGATCTATAGTTCATCCTAGGGGCATAGGGGAAGACCTTCTGGTTAAGGTTGGCAGATTCTTTTATCCTATGGATTTTGTTGTCTTGGACATCAATGAAGACACAGAAGTGCCTCTTATACTAGGAAGGCCTTTCCTGGCCACCGCCAAGGCTCTCATAGATGTGCATGATGGGACCTTAGTCTTGAGGGATGGCGAGGAGCGAATAACATTTTCCATTGCTAATACTCTCCCTGCTTCATTGGCTTTGCATGTTGTTTCTCACCAGGAGCACGAGTCTGCCGTGTATCCTTCTGTGCTACCCATTTTGCAGGATCCCCCTCCCATATTTTCGCCGCCAGTCCTGTCCACTCCGTTACCAAAAGAAAAGATCAAGGAGGAGTGGCGGCCAAAACTGCAGGTAGCCAAGCCTGCTCAAAAGAAAGCCGGAGACCACTATGAGCTGGTCCCGCCTCTTGAGCCTTAACTGCCTTGGCCATCCGAGTATTCACTCGCTTGCATCCTGCCGGATGGCCAGGTTGAGTTGACGAGTGCTGGTGGTCACACTCGTCGAGTGTATGGCCACCACCTGAAGTTGTACCTCAAGAGCGATGTGAATCCTCTCTTGAAGGCACCTGTTCCTTCACCTCTCTGAGCATCCACCCTACTAGAGTCTAGCTAAACGCGGTAAAGAAGCGCTTGTGGGGAGGCAACCCCACCAAGGTTTGTTTTTCTTTCGTTTGTTTTTCGGTTTGTCCACTTAGAACTATGGTTTTTATCACCCAGTGTGTTTTGATGACTCTAGCCCGGCTGACTAGTCCCATTTCTAGTCCCCCGACAGTCCGTATTCCCGGTAACATCGTTTCCCCTTGTCTTTCCCTCTGCTCCATTGAGGGCAATGTCATGCTTAAGTGTGTGTGTGGGGGGGTGTTTATATGTCGTTGACTGCTAGATGAGTTTGTGTGCTTGGAGCCTAGTCCGCTGTCCAAATCTCGAGATTTGAGGGCTCCAAGTACTGATGTTTGCATGATCATATTGGCACTATGGATTTGATTGGTGAATCGAATGGCTTTCGAATTATTGCATGAGAGCTTGATTGTAACTAGGACAACCTATGATGATGACTGAGACGTGTAGTAGAATTGTGTAGGGGTTCAGTTTTTGTTCAACTGTTTGCTTACCAACTGTGACTTGGATTGATCACTTGCTTTTGACAGTCGTTTATGCATCTAGTTCAGGGAATCATAATGAGAGATAGAGCATATAGGTAGCCATGTGAGATTTGAGCATGCTCGTTTCTTTCTTGTGCGATAGTTCCCTCTTCCATGATGTGTAGCATTCACGTTGTCATTAGCTAAGATGATGGAGGCATAGGATTATCCCACGACCAAATTGACTGTCCTGGTGTGTCATACCCCCTAGTCAGCCCCTTTGAGCCGTGTACTTTCCTTTCTTTCGGTCTACAATGAAAATCACCCCTTTTGCATCTCTTAGAAGGTTCCACAATGTGGTTTTTACATGTTCTCTGCTGTTTCTGCTAAATATAATGTGAGGGTTGGAGGTAGTTCTTAAAAAGTTGGGAATGTGTTTGAAAAATGTGCATAGGTGGTGGTTCTCTCAAGAAATGAAAAAAAAAACATGAAAAAAAGAATGAAAGCAAAAGAGAGCCACCACCATAAATCTGAATAGTGCCCATTAAGTAGTGTTTTTTAGCAGTCTGGCTTGGAAATACTAACATTATTTTGACCTCCTTCGCTCTTGTGCTCTAAAGAATTTGAGTAATGCAGAATGGCAGGAAGAAAGTAAGTGGTTTGATTGACTGTGATTGTGTTGGGTTTGGAAATGTGGAACCTTGTGCTATGAACACTTCCACCACCTAAAAGGCCTTTTCCCCATGTCCAAGACCCTAGCCAGTCATCTAAACCTGTGTCGAAGACCTCTGGATTAGTTAGTGGAGACACCCCATATGTGAACGCTAACATTTATAGGTTGCCTTCATGGTGAAGAGACGTTAGGGATTGAGAGAATAAGCATGCGCATTTTTCGCATCAAATTGTCCTGACCCCATTGGTCGAGAGTGAGCGATTCATTTTCTCATATTCTCTATACTCTTTTACCCCGGTGAGGGCCTAGATTGCTCGGTCTCAATTCTGATATCTTGAGTTTTGTGCATGAGGAGACTGTCTTGAGTAAGTGGTTGAGTCAAGTCTGTGTTGGTTGATGAACAGAAGGGAGACTCCTCCTTTACTCGATTTTGTTGCACTCGAATGTCCTTTGTGGTGGTTGTCCAGGTTGCTATTGAAGTTGTTCATGTGTTGATGTTTGAAAGCCAGTACGATTCACGTGTTCTGTGCCTATATGAATTGTCCCCAATGTTGGTATGATTGAAATATGCTAAGCTTACCTTGTATTGACTTGGTTTGCTTGGGGACAAACAAACGGTTAAAGTGTGGGGGAATTTGATGACTTGATATATACACATGTTTTTGTCCACCATTCTTACACCGTTTGAGTCTTATTTCTCGTGTTTTATGCCGATTTCACGCTAGGTTGTTCTTGTTTGTGATATTTCAGGTCCTAGTACGTTAATGAAGGTTTGGGAACGAGTTCGGGGTCGATTGGACGAAGATTGGACGTTAGGCGAGAAGCTGAGGAAGCCACACGAGCACGCCTAAAATCCCACACGGCCGTGTGACTTGGCCGTGTGGCACCATTTTGCACGGGCAAGCCACATTGGCCGTGTAGGGGACCCCTTGTGGCCGTGTGGAAAGTCCAAGGAGCTCACACAGGCAGCCTGGAAATCCACACGGCCGTGTGGTTTTGGCCGTGTAGTGTACCTGAAGCCACTTAAGTGAAACGCGACGTTTGCACACTCACACGGGCAGCTTGGAAAGCCACACGGCCGTGTGACCTGGCCGTGTGGTCGGGAATTTATGGGTTTTAACCCAATTTCGAGCCAAAGGAGAGGGAATCCACTTTTTGGAGCAAAAACAGAGTTTTAGAGAGAGAAAGTGCGAAGAACAAACCCTATGAGCTATTTGGAGTGGATTTCTCACCATTGAAGCCCACATTGTATCCCCAGGAGTGAAGATTGACATCCCAGAGCAGATTCTTCCCATTGTTATGAGTATGACTGCTTTGTATTCTGTTTCCCTCTCTCTCTCTCTATGGAGTAGAACTTTCTCTCACTTGGGTATGAAGAACCCTAGTTCCATGTGTTAGGGATCTTGATTGTAATGACTTGGGATTGTTATAATGTTTGATTTTAATCGATTGATGCATGATTCATTGAGTCAATTGAAGTCT